AAGCAGCAAGAGCTCGACTTCAAAGGCCCTGCCAGAGCTTTTGATTTTGTGAATGAAAATGAAACTAAATGAATCAGAGGATGTCATAGGGGCCAAGATCCATTCTCTTCGATGAAGAATGGTCAGGATGTGCCAAAGAAAGCATCCAAGGCCGCTTTACAGCAATGGATGTCCTGCTTGCCTCCGAACTATAGCCAGGCTGCAGCAAAGCCAGCTGCGGCAAAGCCTGCCCCAAAGGCTTTGTTAAAGGCCACACCGCAAGCTGCCTGATTGAATGTCAGCCATGTATCAGTCACAAGATGGTTTTGGACCAGGGGCAACACAAGATATGAGATTGAACTGACGGTATGTGATGTCATCTGAGAGCAAGAACCAGCATAAAAGTGGAATGGGTTCATGTGGAAAAAAGGACAAGCCAAGCAGTTCAAAGACATCTGGCCAAGAGGCCTCAAAGGAGGCCTTGACGGAACAGGCGGGGCCACCACATGCATTTGCATGAAAGACCTGCTTGGAGTGCCATAGCAGCGAGGAGCAGAAGACCGACACCGCAGCACCGCTCCATTTAGACCAGGACAGACTTGCCCTGTCCGCAACACAGTGCCAGCTCAACTCCATCCTTGTCAGGACCTTGTCCTTCTGAAGAAGAGCTTCTCGTCATCACATGCTATTTGTGGACCTCCAAGCACACAAACGCGCCTATGTGAGTTTATATGTAATATTACTGAATACAACATTACATATTTCAAATTTCCTGGCGACTCCGCTGTGACCCTTGCTTCAAAGGAAATCAGATGAGATAGGTCGCGGAGAGGTTACCACAGGCTTGTTGAAATTTGTTGGCTTGCCATGACCATGTTTTCACAGTCCACGAGAGCTGACTTGTGGTAAACCAACATGAAGCCTCCATTCTGTGATAATTCACAAGATTTGTAATACCCGTGATTATTAGGTTGCTTTCCGTTTCAGGCAAGAGGGTCACCCACAGCATATACTGTACCCCAACAGGGTCATCAGGCTGATACTGCGGCATGTGCCCCTTGAGCTGGGACTGCATAGCCTAACGTCAAACTGAGGTGACGATGAACTCGAACATGTGAAGGAGGCACAGTGCAGCAAGCTCCTTGTGCCTTTTTGTCCTTGTGGGCTTATTGATCAGGGAAGCCAAAAGAAAAAGAAGGCGCAAAACAAGAAGAATGTGATTCCAGCCTCAGAATGGTTTCAGGGCTGATGTCCTGGCTAGTGATTGGCGCGGTGTCTTACTGAAATGCTTGTGATATCTCGTGATCCTTCTGTAGGGTTGGTTGTTTCAATCACTCAATGTGAGAACCTGAATCATCGTATCCAGCGCGCCCAAAGCCATTTGTTCGCATTTGGACTTCGGCTTGTCAAAAGAGAATGGTCCACAAATTGCTATCAAGTCGTGAATTGCTGGTACTGTCAAGCGAAGCAGTTGGACATGACAAGTCAAGTAGGCCATCGGCTAACGCCCTTTGCATCCGTTGCTGTCCCGGGCCTTTGCCTTCCCCGGCTTGTGCTTGTTGTATGTTTACCTTTCATGCAAAAGGTTGACCAGACTGAAGAGTACATCATGACATCATGACAAAATGTACAGCCATTATTGATATAATGTTGACATGACAAAACTGTTGCAATGTGTTGCCATTCTACTGCAGTTGCCTTTAGTCTTGTGACACTGGATCATTTCGAAATCAAGATTGTATTGTGTCTATACCACTAGACAATCATGGCAGAATGCAAAATCACTAACAAATTCTTGGTTGAAAGCATATTGCCCAGACAGACGGATTTCTGCTGATTTAAGTTCTTTGGATGGACCTCCTGGCATGTTGTAGCAGATTTGCAAGGGATGTGGACTGAAGAAGCTCTTTGGCAGAGTAGCTCCAAAAAGCTCAGGCCATTGCCTTTGATGGTCGCAACAAGGAGCTGAGAGAGCTTAGGCAGATGAACATGTGATCCATCCAAATTGTATAAATTTGATCTGATCTGCAGATCTGCGCCTTCCTTTGCCAGGCCCGAGGAGATTGGCGGTAAGACAGACAAATACTCGCCGCCCGGTGTATTTGGACACCGATCCTGTTGTGGGCGCTGAGTTTGAGGTGCTTGATCAAGAGGGACAAGCAAAAAATAGCAAAACGCTGTTTTGATAGAAGGCCTGTTGTCAGGACTGAGGTTCAAGTGGGTACAAGGCCTTAGCCTTGTCAGACATCTACTGTAGCTGGAAGGCTCTCAAAAGTGCTCATGTAGCTGTGTACATGTCCGAATATATTGTGCTCACAGACTCAAGCAATACTGTCTTCGACATTTGGGCTCTATTGAGACTCCATTGGCCCACGAAAGCTGAGGTGGGACCAGACAAATTGGGAGATCCGGTGTCAAGTGCCTGTAGATCCGGAAGCCCGGCAAAGTTTTTGAAGCATTCCCTGATGTGGACTTGCATGCAACTTCGCTTCTTGTCATTGCAACTCAAAACAATTGCTTTCTTTGAGAGTACTGCATAATTTTGTCACTATGGAGTGCTTATTGATTCTGCACTCTCAAGGAAACAACGAAGCATGATATTCGCTGCCAGATAGGGCAAGTTTCCTGGAAACGCCAACACTGCAGCGAACCTCCCTGGGAATTTTTGCAAGTTCTTCGCATTCAACCATCTTCCAGTCTTGATGTGCAGCAGAATAAGTCAGAATGAGTCTGAGGCGCAAACACCTATTGCTTTCCGTCTTTGATGAGGCAATGCACTTGTTGCAGATTGCTGGAAGCTCACAAAGCACATGTTGAAGAAGAGGGTTTTACATGTATACTGGGCCCAGTGAGATAGGAGTTGTGGAGCATACTTGGGGCATAGATTGCGCATTACATAGTAAATGCTGCCAGGGTCGAAGAAAAGAGCTTTAGAGAAGGACTTGGTCAACATGTTATAAGGTTTCATTTTTATGCATGGTTCACCCATGATAGTACAATGTCTCAGGAGTTGTCCCAACTAATTAAATTCCCATATCTTTCCATCAGTGTCTTTTAGAAGCACACAAGTCCTAAAAGTTTCGTGTGGTTTCCTGTCCGCCTCATTTTGTGGTGTTTGTTCACTAGAATCTCTTGGAGAAGCTAAGAAGTAAATGACGGATTCAACCAGGGATTTGCCATCAGGCATGCAGAGAAGCAAATGAAGCAAATGTCGAGTCAAATCGACTTAGAATTTGCCAACAGGCATGCAAAGAAGCAACTGACGGATTCAACCAATGACTTAGGATTTGCCAGCAGGCATGCAGGCACACCCTAACCAATGACATAGGATGTGTGCATGATTTGTGTAGAGAGTAGACCGGACATCGAAAACGAAGATTCAAAACAATTCAACATTAGAAACATGCTGTCATGATATAATTAGGATGTGTCGAAGTCCCATGTTCGCTCAGCAAGTTCCGTCTCATTAGAGCCTAGTAACTATAATATGTGTAATATAATGTTATTCAGTTGCTTGACGGCCTGGATTGAGGATATCTTGAACGGCTCTCTTTTTGACAGCGTTGACTCCGAGGAGATTGCGATAGATTGCAATAGCAGCGAGTAGGTCAACATACAGTGCTTGCACCAAGTGCAGATTTGGCAAAGACTGACTTGACTTGTGAGTCTTCTTTTATGAAACAGGGTAGCTGCTGGCATCACCTGATTCACGTAGCCTGACTCAATTACTGTGTGGACATTTTTTGTCAAGGATGGGCTGGGCCTGATAATTACTAGATAGTATGTGTATGTGAATGTGTATCTATATTATAGTACCGGCCTGAAACTTAGAATGTGTGAAAGTCGACACTTCAAAACAACAGATAAATTTAGAATGGGGGGTCTTGCACTGCACCTTCTAAGTTTACAGGCTGTTTTGAATTACCATGCATAATGTAGTCCTCAGACTAATAAAGACCCCTAGAATTATGTTTTTTTTTCCCTGCACTGATTAATAAAGGCCCCTAGAATAATGTCTTTTTTTTT